CACATCCCCTCACGGGAGAATCCATTTACTCAGTAATGGCACCTTACATGTACCCATTGTAACGGTTGTCTAATAATGTTTAATTTAAATATGTATGTTACAGAGCTAATAAATGACCAAGACTTTGTAATTAAAACACTTGAGTATTCTAGAAGTTACTGTCTTTTCCCTGGGAATATGGAGAACTACTTTTTCTATGTGTATATTTTTATGTAATTAGCATTCTGTACCTGGTTCAGGGAAAGCATGTCCTAAAGCAATAATGTTAGATATTAAAGATTAAAGTTGAATGCATTTGATGATTTGATTTGATGATTTGGTGCATTTGGTGATTTGATTACTACTTCTTTCTATGTTCATTTTTTCACTCGGCATATCAGAATTGATCTCGCTAGTAATCACTTGTCATTTGTGTGCCACGCGTGAGCCACACCCCCTTCAACACAGAAGCCAGCTTTTATCACATTTGGAGGAAATCCTACTTCTGGCTGGTACTTTGTGTGAGAGTAAGCGAAGACCTCTTTATCTGGGCGTGTATTTATCCAGTGTCACTGAACTGTGTGGTGGTTTGGTTGCAAGGAGATCTTTTGTCAATTCTGCCTCAAAGACCGGACTTATTGATAAAGCAAATTACAGTCTTTTGTGGGTGTTGTGCCCTTCATGCTGATCCTGCGCTGCAGAGGCATACTGATGCCTGGACTGCATGTGAGTGAGGACAGCCCCTGGGCTGTAGAGCAGTGGGTGATCAAGGGACATGCTTTTGGCGGCGGGGCTAGGGGTCGGTGGTCCTGTGGCAGGGGAATATGTTTTGGAACAGGTTGATTGAGATACTTCTCTCCCTGGCCTCATAGCTTGGGAGCCACTGACAAAGAATATCATTGCAGTAAGCTAAGATTTTGAAAGTCTTTAACTTAACACAACAGACAGTGTGGCCGTAAGCAAAACATTTTCACATTTTAAATTTGGGGAAATTAAATCTCTTCATGTTTTCAGGTTGGAGAAGACAGAGCTCTAGTTTTTATTATTTATAATCAATTTCACTTCTCCAAACTAATCCTCCACTCAAAAAATAGGCATCTACTGTTAACAAATTAGTGTATATTATATATTGCCTTTATTTTTTTCTCTAGGGGACTTGCTTTGTTATTTTAAACCAAGCGTGCCCATTGTTTCGTGACATGCCCTTTTCACTTAATCTATCTGGATGTATTTCCATTATAGTAGACCAACTTCATTTATTTGCGGCATGGATGTCTCACAGTCAAGCTGTTCTTGACTGCTAGCTAGCTAGCAGTAGTATATTAACGTTTCCTACACCTTGGTCACCAGTGGATATTAGGAGTAAATTTTTGGTTTATCATTTGAATAGATGATAGAGTCACATGGTTGAAAAGTAGAAGGCATAAGGAACCAATGTCTCCATTTCCTGCTTGTGCAGGCAGCCATGTATCAGTCTCTTGGATATCCATGTAGATTTTTAGTACATAAGGAAAGCATATTGTGTTAGTTTGCCAGGGCTGCCATAACATGTGGACTGGGTGGTTTAAACAATGGGGATTTGTTTTCTTACAGTTCTGTAGGCTAGAAGTCCATGATCAAGGTGTTGACAGGTTTAGTTTTTCCTGAGTCCTCTCATCATGGCTTGTAGAGGACCTTTCCTCTGCATACAACTCTTTCCCTACCTCCCTAACCCCATCTCTCTGTGTCCAGATTTCCTTCTCTTGGAATAATACTAGTGAGATTGGATTTCCCTGTATTATACAGTAGGACCTTGTTTATTTTACATATAAGGAGCTTATTTTAACTCGAATTACCTTTTAAAAGGCCCTGTCTCCAAACATAGTCACATTCTGAGGGACTGGGGGCTAGGCTTGTTGAATATGAATTTTGGGAGAGACACAATTCAGCCCCTTAAACACAACATGTGTGTAGGTATTTATAAAATATATAATTTTGACACTTGTATAGATTTAACTAATAGCTTAGTGGTTTTCCCAAACTTTGAAGCATCTCTTCAGTAACCTTTTTCCAGTTAAAGATTAGTTGGCATTTCAGAGGTCTAGAGCTGGGCAGCAAAAAGTTTTGATCAAAGGACCATATTTTCATGTGTGTAAAGACAGGCTGATGGAAGGGGGAGTAATCTAGCTTCACAGTGTGACTTAAAAGACCTAGTGAACAAAGGCTCACTGAGCAAAGCCAGTAACTGAAATGGGACAAGAAGGGGAGGAACAAGACCTGACTGAAGAGCTTCGGCCGTCACAGCAACAACTCACTGATGGAAGAGCTCTTCATGCTGCAGCAAAAGGTAGCTGAAAGTCTGATTCTTTTAAGAAAGTAAAAGGCACTTGGATTGGTGTTGCACAAAGATGAGAAACAGAGAAAGAGTTGAGGAGCAAAGCAGGCAACTGCAGTGGCAGGAAGGGTGCAAGCAGCTGCAGAGCCCCAAGGGGGCAGGCAGGAGGGGAGAACTGGGGCACGCTGTCCCTGTCTGGACCAGGGATCCCAGGGTTACAGGTCCGATGGGGGCTTTGTGCTGTCTTTGGATGTAAAGGCTTTGAGACAGGGCAGGGTTAAGGAAAAGGCAAACTACTGAACTTGGGAGGATGGACAGATGTACATTTGACAGTTGACGTAGCGTTACAGTGTGCTGCATGGAAGATGGCAAAATGCGTATTTGTTAGTGAATACTTAACTGTTTTTGCCTCCTTCTTCCCTCTTGGGAAAAACTCCCCAGTTGAAGTTAAAGTATCGAAGGTAGTCCACATGTTAAAACCTGGCATTTCATGTTTCTGTGAAACCCTGTGTGACCTTTGACAGTGCTGGTGGCTTGGGATGGTGGGGCAGGGAAGCGGTAGGTAGGAAGAAAGAAGGCTCAGTGTAGTCCATGGATTCTGAGAAATTACCACTGCGGACTGTCAACCAGGAAGTGCTGTCCTGACCATAGAGGGAATAGATGTGGGTGTAGCAGAGAGGAGAGACCCACGGTTCCTACTTATGTGGAGAATGTGGGCACCACTGAAGCATCCTAGGTAGTGAAAGAGGAGTGAACCAGGCTTGTGCATTTTATTTGGATCACTGGGAGTGCTAGTGTAGATGACAGGCTTAATGCTGACTTGCGTATGCTCTGTGGGCCTGATGCCCAGGGTGCTACTGATGTCCCCCAATTCGTCTTGTGTTCCAGAACTTTAAGTGACATCACTTAGCTCTTTTTTGCAAGCTCTTTTGCCTTTTTTTTTTCTGCTTTGTTTTCCTAATGATTGGGCCCTAATCTTCCCCTTACATGAGTCCTACTTCAGCAGGCTTTCCCAGCACAGCCCATCTCTGAGATCCTGCCCACTCCTATGCCCATCACTGGATCTGCCTTCACGCTCTGACAGAGGCAGGCATATGTGAAAGCCTTAGCCACAGGGATCTGCGCCCACAGGGCCTGTGTTCTCATTCCCATCTCACTGTCAAGAGCCTGGTGACAAGGCTATTTGCGGGGCACTGCTGTCCTGTGGGTGGGCGGGGACGGGAACCATCTCCACCCGACAACTTCCTGTTGAAACACCACGCGGCTCAGCTCCTGACTGGGGCTTTGCCTCCCTCTGCCTTATGTGCTCCTGGAGGGTAGAGCAAACTATATACGATAAGTACATGTGTGGGTCTGTCCAGTGAGCATGGCTGAGTTACCCCTGGATTTCTGAGTTATCTTTTTCTGCTCCCAAAGCTCTGGCACCCAGTTTGAGGAGATCTGAATTCTGTAAAATGAGTTACAGTGTATGTTTGCAGACTTTCATTAGGGGAGATAGGACTAAAATGGTCGAGGTGGTGGGGAGAGCACCAAAAAAATCAACATTGGGAATTCCCTGCTGATTGAATGGTGCTTTTGACTGTTGAGGGCCCGGGTTCGATACCTGGTCAGGGAACTAAGATATCACAAGCTGTACAGCGCAGCTAAAAAAAAAAAAATGATACTAAGCTTCCGTAGTCTTGGACAAACATCTTTATTTAGGAAATCAAATAAATAGGGTAAACTGTGGTAGCAGCTTCACACAAAGATACAAGACCAAACTGAGAATTCCTTGCTCAGGTCATTCAGAATGGAACAAAATTCTTCAAGTGCTCACAGCACAGAAAATACCTGGTTTTCAATGAACATTTACTTGCTTTTCAATAGACATTTACTGGTTTACAATTAAGATCCCACACTGTTATAGTAAAAAAAAAAAAAGACCACTCCCGCCCACTTGGGTATACAGGTATACAGCCTGAAAAGCCTAGAGTACAAGTGTTAATGTGATACAAGCTTTTCTTTGTTTAGAATTCTAAAACTGCCTTAAAACTTTCTACTAGCACAGCTATCAACAGGTTCACTTAATCCTTAGTTTATTGTCTGAGGGAAAGGAAACAAGAACATAACCTGTCACAGTGGTCCTGGCCACCCACTATACAAACCTGGGCTCAGGAGTCTCGAATTGCAGCAGGATCACTGTTTCTAGGCTCTGATAAGGGTAGGCCTGTGGCACTTGGCACTGCAACACGGTCTGCTCCGGCTTCTTGGGCAAAGCTATGTATACTGCCTATGTGTTTTCATAACATCTCTGGATCTATAGATGAGCCCATGTATGTGCTACCAACTTCATTCCCTACTGCAGAAGCTTTTAGTTTTAAATCTGTCTACCAAATCTTGACAATGATATTTGGTTTTGGAGTGCTTCATCAAGATCAACTATCTGAATGAGGAAAGTCAAAAGCTTATTCTCAATTTTTAAAAATAAAGATATTTCAAGATTACGAATAAAGAGCTCTTTATAAATAACAGTGTTCACAAGCAAATATCAATCTGTTCTTAGCTGTAAGAAACTGAATGTGCTATTTTTAAATACAGAAGCAATTTCATTAGGTTTAGATAAACTACAAGTAAACTTTACCATGCTATTTAATCGTTACTTACAATGTACACATTCCTGAGTATACCCCATTGTAGTGACATTGTGTACTTCTGAGTTTTTTTGCATTCAGCTTAAAAGGTGTTTCTTCCCAAGAAACTGAACTTTTCTGTCAAATGCGCTGGATCGAATAGGAGAATTGGGTTCATAAAATGGATTCATTGCAAACTAGGAGAGAAGAAAGTACTCAGGTGAGCTTGTCAAAGTAAAAAAGGCTGACAAATCATAGGTCTCTAAAAGGAAAATATTTTAAAGTTTTAAATTAAGTCATCAAAGACATTCAAAAGTCTAAAGACCACATTTTTAAGTTTCAGTGAAGATGTTCCATTATTAAATGTTAATGTCCCACTAAGGAAATTTCTGTCTTGGTGTTTTAGGGTAGAACCTGTGGCAAAACCCACAGCGGCACATATCTAAGCACTACCTGTGTGAGCAAAACCAACTCCTGGGATCCACCCTGTGTGTGAAATACAATTACACTCATGTTCAACTATCAAGATGTTCATTCATGTGGAAGGCCTCTGGCTATATAAAATACACTAAAAATCTGCCATATGCTCTGATTGAAAGAAAAAGTTATACCACACTACTTTTAAAAGTTTGGTAATTTTTAACAATCAGATTTTTAATACTCTGCTTTAACACAAGGCATGTGATCAGTTTCTCAGATAATATGATGAGTAAACCATAATGTATGTGAGGGAAAATTAGTACTGGATGGAATCACAAGTGAGGAAAGGAGTTACCAACTTTTATACCTTAATCAGTTGGTGTTGTCCATCTTTATAAGAGGACTAAATATTCTCTGCTACTTCTGACTAGGAATATTGACCGTTAACTATGCTGATAAGCAAAATATCTTGTGCAAATAAAGAACATTTAAATTATTAAGAATATACTGTTAGCACTGCAGTTAAACCACTCACATCTTATTATTATTTCAGTTTTCCTAATTATCAAGAAATGCAAGTGACCCCTTTCTCCTTGAGTGACTTTGATAGTACATGAATCACTTCCTACTGGTTTATGATCTACATTGATTGCACTGTAACTTGTTAATAAGTAGATGGGAAACAGTCTGGAATAAAATCATGAAGCAACTTCCCTTATATAGACTGCTTCTGTGTCTCTAGTTAGGGTTCCCTCATAAAATGAACTATGTGCACCAAAAGGGAAAGAATGAAACTGATCTAGAAATGACTATGAGTTGTCCTGCATGCGTGTTAAGCTGCTGATAAGAGACCTGCCTGATGAGGGGGCTGCAAGGAACAGTCCTGCTGGGGGAAAGCTAGGCAGGGAGGAGAACTGTGCATCTAAGGGGGCTCCCTCTACAGGCCAGTGTCCTGCTAAAGTTGGCATGATTTATAATCAGATTTTACAATGTACAGAACATACCATACCTTTATGTATAAATCATAGACATCAGTAAAGAAGTTCTTGATTCCGTCTTCTTGCCTGACATCATGCAGCATAATAAATCTCATATGTGAAATAATTAAGGTATAATATTTAGAAATGAAAGCTGAAAAGTTGATCAGTTGATACAATATTCTTCGAGTCACATGCAGTGTATTGTGTGATGGAAAAGATAAACACATAAACTGGGTTCAGAGTTAGGTTAGTTTTATCTTGAAGAGAACATAATCTTTTTAAGTTAGAAAGTAACTACAAAATAAAATCACCCTTGATATGGTTCAGATAAACCTTAATTTTATGAGATGGGACTTTAAACCACCAATGGCCATTTTTTACCTAACACTTTGCAGTCCACAGACTCAGAACCTGGCATCCATATCTCGTGCTGGTCTGGTTTGTCACCCAAACCCTTCATTGGAGCTCTAAACAGGTAAGGATATGACCCGCAGTGACGAATGCTGAGACAAACCATTCATTGAATTTGTCCACCGTCTTCAAGTACATATTGTTCGACAGCCACATGTTCTCATCTACGAGGTCGAGGGCAGCGTGAGCTATGAACTGGTTCAGATGGCGGTGATCATCCTAGGTGACAGTGAGTGACAACAGATTAACACTTCCATACAGGGAATTCTAGACACAGCTTGCTCATGGGGCGGGGGCGGGGGCGGTGGGAAGCTTTCTGCTATAAAAGGTCTTCAGTGTTTTCACACTATTTTCTAATCTGGTATCTGAAACTCAAATAGAAACAGCCAATCACTTATGAAATGTGTTCAAGAAACTATAAAGATTTAAAAGAGGATACTTCCTTTAAAAAAAAAGAAGAGTAGATCCTTTCGATTTTTCTCCCCTTCCCCTTCCCCTCTCCTCTGCTCAGATCCTGCTTTCAAGAAGTACACATCTTTTGAGGAGGAAGACAGGAAAACACAAGGTAGGCCAGGGAGGTGGTGAGGAAAGCTGCAGGCACCAGCCTCAGGTCGGGGCGGGGCCAGGGCTTGGTGTGCAGGGCAGACAGCCTGGCACTGGCTGCCCTGAGGTGCAGGGAGATCCCAGGGCTGCCAACCTGGGTCGGCGCCAGCTGTGTGCAGTCACCTGTACTGACAATGCAAGGCGATCCTGCAAAGCTGGAGACGTCCTTCTCATGGGCCTAAAAGGCCTAACTGAACAAGGTGGTTCCCCTTGATTGTGGAGAGGAATTCACAATCTGGAATGCAGCCTCACGCACACGAGATGCTTACTGTCAAAGTGCATTTTTCAAAGAACCCCTCTGTTTTAGGTTCCCCCAACTCCTGTGCTGCAGTCCTACCCCTCAGAATGTGGCTGTGTTTGAAAAGAGGGTTGTTGCAGATGTCATCAGTTACCATGAGGTCATGCTAGCAGCGAGTGAGTCCCTAATCCAGTGGCTGACGTATTTATAAAGGGGAAATCTGGAGACAGACTCGCATGCAGGGAAAAAGCCACGGGAGACTGCAGTTCTGCCACAAGGCGCAAACTGCCAGCAGCTGGGAGCAAGGCCTGGAACAGGTCTTCCCTAGCACCTTCGGACAGGGCTGGCCCTGCTGACGACTTCATCTCAGACTTCTGGGCTCGCCAACTGTGAGACAATCCGGTTCTGCTCTCCTTAGGCAACCAGTGTCTGGTACTATGACTGCAGCCTTGGGAAACGAATGGCACTTCCTAGCTGAGGAGGCTGTGCCTGGGCTGGAGGAAGGTGGTCAGGTGCCCTAGAATCCCTCACGCAAGTAAAGCACATTTATACTTCAGCACGTGGACAAAACTAATTTATTTCTCAGAGAAATGGATGTGTTTTGTGTCTGGCTCATGGCAGTCTTTCCCTTTGCACCGATGAGCAAACTAGACAGATCAGAAGAAAACTAGGAGTGGTTTACAAAGGTGAGTGGTAGCAGGAGAAAGACCTAAGATCAAGTAACGCAACAGTTTTTATATGCACCGTTTTGCCTACCACAAGGCCAGTGAAATGAGAGAGAAACTGTATCTAAGTAGCCGCATACCACACAAAGCAAGTACTGCTGCAGTGATGCCTCCCATCCAGGTTTCAAACAGCAGTGTGCTCCCGGGAATGTGGGCAAATGATGGAGCAACAACACCTGCTCAGACAATACCTTAGATTTCCATCCTATTTCAGTGGCAAGGTCTGAACAGTTGAAAAGCATCCTACATTGGACATCATGACTAATTTCAAACATCAGTTCCTGTCTTAAAGGACATTAAAGTCTACTTTTGGAGGCTAGGAGAAACATAGCACAGTGGTCAGCAATTTACTTGGAATATGGCTTTGTAAAGGGAGATGGAGGGACCAGCTCTCATCCCAAGACCCTACAGGTCTGTTTACTCTTGAGTGGCACCACGTTCTTGAAGCAAGCTGGTTTTTTTGGAACCACTCTTAACAAGAAAGTTGGGTGCCGTCGCCAGGGAGGAGAGCATGAGGGCCCCACGTGGCCAGTGGATGCTGTGGGAAGTCGATGACAACAGACACCATCCTGGGGGCGTCAGGAGGACACAGGAGTCGAGGTCTCTCTCAACCCTCTAGCTTGTCTGTCCTGCTGAAAAAGGTGATGTGAGGGCACATAAGGAGCTTTCTTGGCATTTCAGAGCTGGAGCGCCTGCCCCTGCAGACCCAGTACGATCACCGCCTTTGGCGGGTGGTCCAGGGACTGACAACCAGGGAGAGGAGATGCAGGGCATCCTCTGAGCTTGTGCCAAGTGCTGCTGAACTAGAGCACGAACACACAGTGCAGAGGGCGCTCCCGGCGGGCTCCTCTCAACCTGCAGGACTGCAGAGCAAGCCACCTGTGGTTGTGCTGGGTTCACAGTGACCTCATTTGTCCAGATCCCTTCCAATTCCACAGTCATATCACACCAGTATCATTACAGCAACACCACAAGTGCTATGGGCTTTTTTAAGGTTTCATACGCACTTTGGATTCTGCTTTTCCAGCTGGTAAAAACTCCATTTCAAAAACTGGATTATCATGGTGACCAACGATGACAAAGTAGAAGCTTCCAGACATCGTCTTCAATATAGCTCCTAGTTAAATGAAAATGTGTATTTTTAGTACTCAGTACCAAAAACCAGGAAGTGAAGAACTCCATTTTTAACTTAAACCTAAATTGTAGAGGAAGTGACCCCTAAAGTGGCATGCTTTCCATGCCAAGATTGATACCAAGTGACAGATCCCATGCCAAGATGATACCAAAGTGCTGCAAAACTAGAAGTGGCAATAATCCTCAAGCTCAAGTGAGGGGAAGAGGGTGGAAGCCTGCAATTTTCATAGAGCAAATGATGACATCATTCCATTCCTATAGATAAATAGCTTGTGACTGATACAGTTTATTTATTTATGATATGTTCTGGAGACTCCACTACTGTATTTTCATAGGGAAATTCGAAGACCTCTAACATGAAATCATAAAAACAACATTCTCCTGATCAGAAAGTGTGGACCATTTACGGTAAGCTGGCTTCACCTTGGGCTGGACCAGTCGGCCTGGGTGCTGACACCTGGTGCCGAGTAGGAAACACTGTGTGTACTGCCGCAGAGCACTGCACGGCACTGCTATACAGTCATCTACACACCGGGAGGCGCCTGTCTTCTCCCCACCGGATGGCTCTGTGCTGTGAGTGCAACTGCACAGAGAGGAGCCTGTGATAGGAGTCTTTCAAAAGAGGAAGAAACAGTGCTGCACTCTAGAAAAGACGGAAGAAATCCTAATCCAAAAGGAAGACATTCTGAGGCATAAAGAGCTCTTGGAACAAGGGTTGATAGGTTTGCTAAGGGCATAAAAAGAGAAAACAGGGGTGCTGGGGGAGAAATCAATGATTCTGTGAGCTTTAGCACAATCACAATCTGGACAGATGGATGGACAGACAGGCGACGGACTCGTGTGTGTAATTTTAGCCTGGGGTCTGAATCAGACAAAGCTAGGTTCACGTCTAGCTCTAGTGACACAAGCTCAGGCACACGGAGATGTCGGGCGGGAACCCACTTAACCGGGCGCCGACAGTAAGGTGTGTGAGAACCCAGGGCTCATCGAGCCTCACCGGGACTTCCATGCCATGAAATCTGAAGACAAAGGCAGGGATGATACCAAAGCTCTGCAAAACTAGGAGAAGTGGCAGTGAATCCTCAAGCTCAAGTGAGGGGAAGGGGGTGGAAGCTTGAAATTTCCAGAGCAAACAATGACATCATTCCTTCTTGCTGGAAAAATTTTCATAGGTGGAGTTTGTCATGGGAAGGGCTTTCTTCAGCACAAACATTTCAGCAGCAGCAGGGAAAAAAATACTAAAGGAAGATACTTCTCCCTCTGCACACATGTTAAGCAGCAGCAGGAGACACTATATGTAAAAGGAAGATTACCCTTCTCCAGCCTCCTAACCCACTCAACCCCATGTGGAGACCCATGTGGGGGAGAAAAGCAATCCTAAGAAAAGCATGAGGATAAACAAGAAACTGCAAGAAAGAAAGGGGTGATCACAAACCTGTCAGCTATACAGAACGTGAGCTGCTAGTCACGTGATTTCACACAGGATTGAAGAAAGGATGCAGAGAAGCTGAGAGGTGTAGTGGAAGAAAAGGAAGAGGCAAGAGCACATAACCACCCTGTCCCAGGAAGGCAACGGCTACAACCATTTAATATGTGGGGCCTCCTTGGCCTCAGTGGTGAGCAGAGCTGAGACTTGCTCTAGAATTCTGTACTGTCTGATGGATGGAACTTTCTGCGAGGAGAGAGATGATCTCCATCTACGCAGTCTTTCTGTCACCTGAAATAGGGGCCCTTTGAGTGTCTCCAAGGTCTCGAGGTGTGGAGGTGTTACACAGAGCTTGGCAGTGGGTGAAACTGGGGAACTGCAGGAAGAATTCAGGATGTTGCCAAACGTCTGGCTGAGGGGGTCAAGCAGAGTATCAAGGTGATGAAGCTATAAAGGAAATCAGAAAGGGAAGGAAGAGGGATGAAAATGAACAGGTCAATTCTGTATGTGTGGTGGCAGCCAGAATAGCTCCCTGGGCCCCCAGCAAGATGCCCACAACCTAGGCTTGGGAAACTGAAAATTAATCTAGGTGCCAAAGGGCATTAAGGCTGTAGATGCAACTAAGGCCTCCCATCAGCTGATCTTCAGGTAGGACAAGGATCCCGGCTACTCAGGTGGATCCAGTGTAATCACCAGAGTCTTTAAAAGTGGAAGAGGGTGGAACCCCAGGGAAGAGTCGAGGGTTGTTGGGGAGGGAAGCATAGCAGTGGGTGGATCACCATGGAGACGAAACCTTGCTGGTTTTCAAGATGGAGGAAACAGCCATGAACCAAGGAATGCAGGTGGCCCCTAGAAGCTGGAAAGGACGACGAAACAGATTCTTCCAGAGAGCTTCCAGGAGGGATTTATGCCCAGTGAGACCCGCGTTGGTCTTCTGCCCTACAAAAGGGTAAGATGATAAGTCTGTGTCGTTTTAAGCCAGTAAATTTGTGGTAATGCTTTATGGCTGCAGTAGGAAACCAACAACACGTCAAAACTGAAAAAACCTGCAGGCTTAAGAAAAAGGGAGGTAGAAGAGACTGGGAACAAAGTGAGCTTATTTTCCATGGGTCACAGGTTTCAGAGTCCTGTGGAAATGGGGGGCCAATGGTGCATCAAGGTAGAGCAACCCGGAGCAGTACAGGGACGAGAGTGGAGCGAACAGTGGCTGGGTTTTCCAGCTAGTGTCTCATACCCTTAACAGGAAAACTGCTCAGTGCTCGCAGGACGGAGCCGCAGGGAGCAGGGGGAGGGCATGCCGTTGTACACTCAGTCGCATCCTACTCTTCGTGACCCCGTGGACTGTAGCCTGCCAGGCTTCTCTGTCCATGGGATTTTCCAGGCAGGAACACTGGAATGGGTTGCCATCTCCTCCTCCAGGGGGAAGGCATAGTGCCAGAATATAAGAAAGGGAAGGCAGGAAGGAGGTGGGGGAGGCGGGATTAACTAGCCTCAACAAAGGTGAGAACCTTCTGAAAGTTCTAGTGACGACGCCCTCCAGGGCCTTGACTGATGAAGTCTGTGTCATGAACAGCACATTTGTTAGAGGTTGCCACAGTTGTTAAAATAGGATGAAGAAACCCTCCTTTACAAGGGCAGGACTTGTTGGCTGAACAGAGGGGAGCCAGGATTCCCGTCTGTGCCGACAACAGCTGTCTGTGGTGGTTAAAATGTCTTGAACTGCTTTTGAGAGACAGAGAACTGAAGAAATCAACGAGGAGCTCTGGACTTCTTGAAGAGACCGTGTACAAGATGTGAGAAGTAGAGCACTAGCTAGTGATGGTCATAAAGTAAGACCAGAAAGCCAGGAGGCTTGAGTCAGAAGGGCAAAAGCCCCACACGAGCTGAAATGTGTGCTATATGTTAAGAAAAACAAGAGATGTGCAGGCCACTATCAGGAAAAAGCAAGGGAGAATGGTCAATGATTTGAGGCCCCTGGTGTGTAAACAACATGGGACACAGGTATGCTGAATTTGAGTTTTCTCAAAGAATGGTTTTCACACAGCAAGTGTGGAAGACATGAGGTAGGCAGGCTATGAACCCCAAGACAGGCTTGTTAAAGAAACAGTTGGGTTAACAACTCTGATGGTGTGACTACTGACCAGGGACATTTGAGAAATCACAGGAATAGAAAGAGCCAGGCTTTCAGAGGTTAGTAACTGTTATGCCAACTTTCGGAAAACAAAAAGGCTTATCTTGTTGGCCCTGCTGGTGGCCCAGACAGTAAAGCGTCCGCCTGCAATGCAGGAGACCCAAGTTTGATTGCTGGATCAGGAAGATCCCCTGGAGAAGGCAATGGCAACCCACTCCAGTACTCTTGCCTGGAAAATCCCATGGACAGAGAAGCCTGGTGGGCTACAGTCCATGGGGTCGCAAAGAGTCAGACACGACTGAGTGACTTCACTTTCACTTTATCTTGAAATCTGAGTACTACTGAAGAGATTAAAACACCAACAGAAACAGATATGAAATGCATGTCCTCAGTCAGACCCTATGCTGGGAACTTCTGTGATAAACTAAGTCCTTTAACGTGCATCCTTAGAAAGAGTGGGTTACTACTCACTTGTTCTAGAAGAACAAGTCATTCCAGACCTACACTTCCTGTTGTGGAAGGGAACTAGGGGATGGTGAGTCACCTTCTGAACTCATGTGGTTCTCCACCTAAGAACTCATGGGAGACCAGTATCCTGGGTGACAGCGTCTGGTACCCCCAGAGCAAGAGCAGTGCTGAGGACCCAGGATGTGCATGTTCTCTGCTGAAGGAGGGACAGTAGGGGACTGACTGGAACATTCACATGCTCCATGTCACTGGACAGCATGGGGTCTCTCGGGAGCCTTGGAGGTTGACCTTAACCTAGTGCAGCTCAAGGGGTTTGCATCAGTAACTGAGATGAAGCCAACTTCTCACACCCAAAGATAACATGCTAAGGGCACCTAATTTATTAGAAGGCTAAAGTTAGGATTCAAAAGACCTCCATGGCTAGGAGAAATAGGTGACATGATCAGGACAGAATTTAAAGAATTCCAAATAAAGTTCTATACTTGGGCTGAAAAAATCAACAGCACAACAAGGGGATGAGGGAAGCCTAGTGTAACAGTAGCTCGTCTGCAGAGACCACTTCTCATTTACTGCCAGCTCAGTCAGAGGCAGCAATCCAATACACTGGCCAGAAAAGCTAATGCAATTCCAGACTGCATTAAGAAAAGATAATGTCCTTATGACTAATAATACCATCTCTGGGGAAGATACTCAGTTCTGGGAATCACAGTTTTAAAATTCATTAACTCTGAACTTTGTGTGTTCGGAGGAGGGAAGCATTTAGGCTAAGGAACGCCCTGGGAACAAGACAAAAGCTATTACTGAAGGAGCTGAGGATGTTTAAAATGGAGGCAGGGTACCTTTTGTTGGGGGTGGGGGGAGGCAGTGGAATAGGTGCAGTCTTTATAAATATGATGCTGTCCATGGGAAGGGATTTGACTAGGGATGCCAATTGGTTTTCC